TACTGGCTACTAATAGAAGTTTGGCTACTAATAAATACCCACTTGAAAGATAGCAAAGGAAGACCGGATAACAGAACCATCACCTGTTAAGTGGCTTCACTTACGTCCCGTCTACTTGGCCGGGACCTGCACCATCTGCTGTCGACGTGCGAGATATTCCTCATAGTCCGAGTCACTCTCGGACTCAGAGATCCATCCGTAGCAGGGGGGCCTTTTGCGGCTAGTTCCTGTAACTAACAGATCTGGCGACGCAGCTCTGGGAGAAGGTGGGTCGACGAGCAGGGGTTCCGCTTCCTCTGTCTGCTCAACTGCTACCACAACCTCAGATGGTGGTACAACCATCGCAATGGGAATGAACTCTTCTGACGGTTCCTCCTTTATTGCTACTTCTTGCTGCTGCATCACCAACCAAGCCCCACGTAAGAATTGGACAGTATGCGTAAGCTTTGTTCCTGGAGTGAATAAGTAACCACAACTAACATTCTTAACAAGGTCTTGTTTTAGAGGTAAATCTATTTTTTCATATGTAACAGCAGTTTATGCACCATAAATGTTTCCTTATTGCAGAAGTACTGATGGCCAACATGTTGAAGTTGTATTACAAATCCAACTGAGAAAATACTACATGGTGCAATGCTAAAATGTACGATGCCAATTCATCAGTCAACTATGTTAGCTCAAAGGAATGATGGAAGATATCAACCAGACCACTTGTTTCATCTGGCACTGTTGTCATTTTTATGAATAAACCAGCTTTCAGGTGAAAAAACAAACACAGGAAAGTAAATGGAGAGGGAGCTTACCGGAGCCTCCTCCTCCACCTCCTCCTGCTGCGGCTCCTGCAAATATTTCATAAATAGTGAAAATAAAAACGTTTTACTTTGTACCAACTTCAATCTGTGCAAACGCAAACTAAGGCATGTTAAGACTAATATAACATGGGCATGCTTGATGTAAGGGAGAGTCTCAATCTTAGGATGGCCGTTCCCATCAAACTTACTCCTCATTTTCTATTCATATTTTAGTCATTTGAAATAGTATAATGCCGAGGCAACTCAGTTATATTATAGAAACAAGATGAGGAATTATAAACAGTGGAAATAACCTCGTAATGTTATCATTCATGAACTAGGACCAGCCTTTTTCTCAAACAAAATGCTTTAAAGCAAACAAGATGAGGAATTAGTACATATGACATGTATTATTGAGCAAGAAATATACTTTTTGGCGTGGGGATGACAGTTACCAATTAAAGAAACACAGCCTTTAATATATTGGTCTGTAGGTAACAGAGCGGTATAAATTGGTACTAATGGCGCACACAGCAATTAATATGGATAAACACAAGAGAGTATGTGGAGAGTGCCCTCACCAGATGAGCTTCCTCCCCCTCATCATCACCATCATCCTGGTTCTGCTGCTGCTGCTGCTCTTGCTGCAACTTCTCCTGCTCCTCCATCTCAAAGAGCGCTTCTTGCACTACGGAGTAACAACTGTCCTCCAGCAACGGCCACCCATCCTTCCCATACACATCCTAAACAGATGAGGTCGAATTAATCAGGACCATGGTTTTCAATTTCAATGAAATTTCGGAAATTTCATTAATTTCAGAAAGTACTGAAACATAGCATTTTTGTTAAATTATTTCAACGAGTTCGGCCTCCAAAGTCATTTCCCGCCAGGGCCACCTTTGGTGGCAAAAAATCGGGCCAAAGCCCAAAACTAGCTCCCCCATGGCCCGTGAATGGCTAACATGTCTCTCCCGTGCCCTCACATCTATATACCTAAATCGCCAATGGAAAATCCCTTTTCGTGCCGGCGGCGCCGACACTGGAGGCTCAGGCTCCAATTGCTACTTGATGTGAAATCTGACACTGTCAGAAATAGAATCCTTTTGATTCTTTGGCAGTCCTGGCACCTGAGAAACAATGTTATACATGGTGATGGAAAGGACACGGTCTTGAGTGCTGTGCATCTCTTAGTCAGGTACGAGGAGGACGTAAATGATTCGCTGTACAGTGATGCGACTGTGAAAGATAAATGCCGCTGGTCTCTGTATCCCCATAGCCCAGCAATCCGACAGCGCCTGCTAGCGATCATTGGTCTGCACAGCGAAAGGGATGTTAAACTAAACACAGATGCATCTTACATTTCCAAGACAGGGGAAAGCTGGATTGGTGCAGTTGCTAGAGACCACCGTGGTCAAGTCTTTGTTGCAGTGTGCCAGAAATTAAACAAATGCTCGTCTGTTGAAGAAGCAGAAGCGGAGGCAGCATTAATTGGTCCGAAGGAATTGGCAAACTGTATAGGGGGGTGGTCACTTTGGAAATCGACTGCGCTACTGTCGGCAAGGAACTGCATTGTAAAGGACAGAACCGAGCAAAGTGTTCCTCTCTGGTGGCAGACATTAATCAAGCCATTTCTACCTTCGCTACTCATGTCATGGTGGTTAGAAGAACATGCAATGCTCTTGCACATGAATTGGCAGCCATGGCGAGAAGTGCCAGAGACCAAATCATAGTAGCAACCGTCCCAGAACATCGATGTTAGCTGAATGTAATCACACCATTGAGTAACTATAACTTGTGGTCCTCAAAAAAAAAAGATTGTCATGTATTTACATCACCTATGATGAAACATCTAAGATGGTCTATGCAGAGATGTCTTGTGATTCTTTGGCACTTTTGTGTATTTACAGTACCTATGCCACTGATCTGGCTTGTGTCTTTTGTTGTTTTCTATGATCAATTGTTAATCTAGCATGTGGTTTATGCCGATGATGCATATTATTATGGAGCACAATGCGTATGTTGGTCATGCAAGACATTATATATTCTTTGTGATAAATGAACTTGCTGTCTTTTGTAAAATGTGAAATTCATGCAACGGCTCAATTGACTGATGTGCCACTATTGCGGTCTGAAGAGGCAGGGTGGAGGCTCAACCCGCATAAAGGAACATCTTGGTGGGTTGCGAGGATCAGTGGTTGCCTGCTATAATGTGCCCTCTGAGGTACAATCTGCAATGAGGAAGAATCGGCTGGTTTACAAACAGAGAAAGTCAAAGGTACAACCTCGCAAACTAAGATTGGAATTTGAGCTTCTAGAGGAAATGGGTGGAAGTCCAGTAATTGATCTTGATCTTGCTAGTGATGAAGAGGACCATGTAAGGTTGGAAAGGGAGAAATCACTCAGAGGTATTAAACTTCGACATGGAGTTGAGAGTATGGGTAGTACATTGGAGGTCGGGTCCAGGAGTGGCAGCGGCAACAGCAAGTCTAGTGTCTAGTCCTACAAGTCCTGCCACTGGAACAATAACTCAATATCTTCAGCATAAGAGCTCTCTTAGTCCTGCAGATGGTAGTACTAGGACTCCTAGTGGAAAGAAAACCAAGGGATGCCAGCCAAGGATTGACTTCTCAAATCAAAAGCTAAATGCAGCAAAACTTGGTCGAGCTTGGGCCAAATGGTTCCACGCTAATGATATTCCTGGACGGAAAATCAATTGTCCTTCATTTCGAGCAGCGTTGATGTTGAGTCAAGAGCTATATGCAGTAAAGCACTTATCTACAGCATATGAAGTTGATGGGATATATTTGGATGCCAACTATATGGAAACGAGGGCTTTTGTTGAGAACATGAAGCAAGATTGGGATCGTTTTGGTGTGACTATCATGAGCGACTCATGGACATGACCTACCGGCATGAGCATCATCAACTTCATGGTTTGTTGCAATGGGGCCATGTTCTTTCACAAGACCGTCAATGTAACTGGTCGAATCCAGAATTCACGTAATGAAAATGCTTCGTGTTGCAGTCATATTTATGCTCTACTCCTTGTCATGCAATATTTAACATCAGTGTTCATGCAGAATTCATATTCAAGGAAATTAAGAAGCTCGTTGCCGATGAAATTGGCCAGAAGGTGGTTGTCCAAATTGTCACGGACAATGGCTAGAACTACAAAAAGGCATGCAAAGATCTCGTCAAAGAGTACCCTATGATATATTGTAAGCCTTGTGCAGCTCATACAATCAACCTTATGTTAAAGGACGTTGGTAAATTTCATAAGGTTGCTCGAGTTATTAAAAGTGCGAAAAAGATTAGTAGCTTCTTCTACAATCACAACCAGCCGCATGCTAAGACGAGGGACAAGATTGGTGGAGAGTTGATCCGTCGTAATGCCACCCGCTTTGGAACTGTTTTATTTTCCTCCAAAGTATACATGATAAGAAAGACAAGTTTCGGCAATGATGGTGTCAGATGAGTGGGAAAACAGTGACTGGAAAACTGAGGAAGAATTTGACTATATAGAAGTATGTCTGACAAGTAGTGAATGGTGAAACGACCTCAAGAGGGTCCTAGATACAGTGCAGCCATATAATGCACTACAGTATGCTCATCAACAGAAGGATGTGACCGTTTCTGGTTTTAAAGCAAGGATGATGACCGCTTTCAGGAATCGACAGCTCAACTCGGCAAGGATACATGTGAATTTGAAAATTACATGAGTAATGTGGGCCCGAGGATCCAGCATATGTACGACGACACGTTGATGCTTGCAGGTACCCACTTTGTGCTGAAACTCTTAGTTGACAAATATGTAGCTCTTGTCCTTCATTTATCATGTGGCTCCTATTCCAATATGTACTTTTTTGCATTTGTAGCTGCTGTCCTTGATCCTGAATCACACTGTTCATTTGCATTTGACAAAGATCTAGCCCATATCGATAAACTCCTAGATGTAATAGCAAAGATGGTGGCTACACCACAGTCCGGAGCAAAGGCTATGGATGAACTTGTGTTTTATAATGCCAATAAAGGAAATTTCGGTGGAGTGATCGCACAGCTTGCAGCAAGCACATCTATCCCAGGTAAGTGAGCTACAAAATTTAAGGGAGTTGGAATGTAGTATCTTCTCTTTTGCTGACTTATGGTGTTTCTCTCTTGCAGCCACTTGGTGGTCTCAATATGGTGGAAATGTGCCCATGCTGCTGAAGTATGCAATGCGCATTTTGTGTCTCATTGTGTCTCATCGAGTGGTGTGAGCGCAATTGGAGTACCTTTGTGTTGATCCATAGCAAAGTGAGAAATATACAAAGTTACATTAAGCTGACAAAGCTGGTGTACACACGTTACAACTTGCAGCCCCACCTTCAGCAAAATGAGACTTATCGAGAAGATATGGAGGTTGATCCATGTGCTCTCATGATGAATCTTACTCAACATGATGAAACAAACCCAATCATGGATTGGATGAACAACTCCAGGAGTGAATCAGAACCACTTCTAGATGAGGGAGGTCGCCATCTCAGTTTATTCGTGATATAGTTCGTGATGTGCGCTTAAAGAGGAAGATGGTCAAGGTTTCAAGTCTTGCGAGGAGGAAAAGGGTGAAGAAAGCGAAGATGGCTGATCTGGATGAAAAGGGGGAGGCTTCAGAAAGTGACTTTGATGAGGAAGAAGACGAAGAAAGTGGTGATGAAGAAGATTTTGATGATGAAGAGGAGGAAATAGTTGAGATGTCTTCACCTGAAAGACGCATTCAAGGGGTTGAACCAGGAGAAGTGGCTGACTGAAGAAGCGAGGGAGACCCAGAAGTCAAAACGATCAGCTGGGAAGGACATAGATAGTATCTACTACTCCCTCCGTTCCTAAATAATTGTCTTTCTAGAGATTTCAACAAGTGACTACATACGAAGGAAAATGAGTGAATCTACACTCTAAAACATGTCTACATACATCCGTATGTTGTAATTCATTTGAGATGGCTAGAAAGACAATTATTTGGGAACGGAGGGAGTATTAGCAACGGTCAGTTCTTCTACTGAAGTTATGTGCTAAATTACAAAGCTTCAGTTTGCAACTTGATTGGTTTAAACCGGATTCTAGCTTTACTTCTATTTTACTAATGGCATCTGTGTAGTGTAGATGACTTGCTGAGCATGCTAAATACGCGGATATGTGCCTCTGCCACTGTTCTGTATTACTAATTCCACATGTACATAATTACTGGAAGGTGGCCTTGTTTTTCAGCGAACTAACCTACTGAAATCTGATGTAACCACAACAGCTGTCGCTACTTATCAAATAAAAAATTGGCATTTTCTGGAAAAATCCTCTCATGCATCCTTGGACCACTTTGCGCTTTTTGACGTCTCTAACTTTTGTGCAGACATTACTCGAGGTGTGAGAACAGCATTGCTGCGAGAAAACCAAGTCCAAGATGAACAGAACAGAACAGAGAGGTACTCATTTGCGCTAATCCACCAACTTGCCTAGCATTCTTGAGATTGGTGATGGGCGGGTTCCATAGATTTCCAGAAAAGAAGAACTTGTACACAATCGTATTTCAGGTAATCTTGCATATGTTAGCCTGCTAAGATGAAAAATGTGTGTTGACTTGTTTGTCAATTGAAGTTGAACCAGTACGAGATAATAGTGTGGCAGCATTCTTGACCAATTTTGAGGAAGGGGGATTGGGTCTGGGGAACCAAACGAGAATGCGGAGAGGGGATCTGGCCTGGGTGGGGATTTGGTGACATGCAGGGGATCAATCCAATCCAATCCCTGGGCGGTTTAGTTCCGTTATTAGGGGAACCAGACAAGGCTGAAATCATCGCAAGAATCGGCATCGACTCCCGAATCCGTTGACAAAATTAACCGCGGGAAAAAAGGCGCCGCCTCTGCTCTGCTCCGCGACATTCGCGCACGAGGGAATGCCGCCGGCCGTCGAACCCAAAAGACAGCCCTTCCTCGCGTTCGTCTCCGTTTCTCCCGGCGGCGAAGCGGATAAACGGGGGGAGGGGAGGGGGGGCGCGGACCTTGAGGAGCTTGTTGACGACGCGGCGGACGTCGGCTTTGCGGTACCCCATCTCGGCGA